AGTCTGAGTTAACCTGTCTTCCAAGACCTAAATGTATCTTCAGCATTATTCTCTTCCATGAACCCTACAGCTACCAAAATTGCTACATATCATCTCCCAAATTATGTCTTCATCTGAGATTCCAACTCTTCCTACTCTATTCTTCTCCATCTTAATTCTAACTGAACTTTATGTACTATATAATGTATTCTTACAATAAAGTAAGCTAGAGAAAGAAATGTTATTAAGAAAATCATGAGCCCGGCTGGTGTGGCTCAGTTATTGAGGGTCAACCTATGAACCAGGAGGTCACAAGTTCGATTCCTAGTCACGGCTCATGCTTGAGTTGCAGGCTTGATCCCCCGTATGGGGCATGCAGGAGGCAGCCAATCCATGTTTCTATCTCTCCATCTTTCTCCCTTCTTCTCTCTCTAAAATCAATAAAAACATATTTTTAAAAAATCAGGTGCCTGTACTCATATATAAGGATTTCTGGTACCAAGAATTAACCAATAAGATGCAACCTTATGATGCCATGTAACCAATAAGATGAAACTCTATTATATGACCATATATATATGGTTTGAGACAGGGTATTTACACTGAATGGCTATTTTTGTGCTGACTGTTCTCATTTTTTATTTCAAAATCTAAGGGAAAAGAGGTCAGTGCCCCTGACTAGACAGGTATTGCATGTTTTAAAAATTATTGTGGCACACCGCTTGAAAATCGCTGGTGTAGAGACCTACAATAGACCTTACTATATGCTATTATTCTTACTTTATAGCCCCTTCTCATTTGCCAAGCGTTTTTACCTAATATATAGTGGAAGTAAAAAGCTAATGGTAACACATAGAATAAAATAGAACCAACAAAAGTTTTGTTCATTGTGGCTGGCTTATTTCACTTAGCATAATGTTTTCAAGATTCATCTATGTTGTAGATAATTATATTTTTAAATTGAACCTTTCTCATGAGTGAGAAATCCTGCAATATGTAATCTTTTATATAATGAAAAGCGGTTGAATCTTTTCCCATGAATACTCAACTCATGTCTTTTGTGCATTCCTCCTAGCCAAGAACAGAAATACCTCTACATTTATTCAAATATTTGTGTCCATTAGTAGCATTTTGGTTGTCCTTATATAGATTTTGCATAGGTATGTTAAATAAAACTGGTTTTTAAATTGACAAATAAATAAAAACTAATAGTTGAACATCATTTCTAAATTACTGTCATCCTCTCAATCTGTAAAATTGGAAGTTTCATTAAAATTCCACAAGGTGGCAGACTGGTTCCAATATATCTGGCTAGTGAGTTCATTAAAAAGAGAGTTCAAATAATCAGTTATTTAAATACATTCTAGATATTCCCAGTATTGGTATCCCCAAATATAAAAAAGCTTTCTAAGTCAATACAACAAATCTATGAGTATTTTCTCCAAGAAACAGCTTTACAAATGATGGTTAATTTTGTAAATCAGTTCAAAAAGCTTATCATTAAATTAGCTATAGAATTTTTTTAAAGTTTCATAAAAGTTTTAATATATTTTATTGACTTTTTTAGAAACATCGATGAGAGAGAAACATCGACCAGCTGCCTCCTGCACACCCCCTACTGGGGATGTGCCCACAACCAAGATACTGGGGATGTGCCCACAACCAAGATACATGCCCTTGACCAGAATCGAACCTGGGACCTTTTAGTCCAAACTGGTTAGGCTAGCTATACAATTTTACATTTACAGTAAACGAGACTTAAGAGGTAATTTAATTATATAATTCTTACCCAATGCAAATATCTTTATCCTTGGCGTCAAAAAACCCCACAGAACTGGGAATTTAAAATGATACAGTCACTATGGCAAATGGTGTGGCAGTTCCTCAAGTTAATAAACATATAATTATATATGGCTCAGCAATTCCACTTCTGGGTAAAGAACTGAAGCAGAGACTCAGATACCTGTATACAGTATTATTCACAATAGCCAAAAGGTGGAAGCAACCCTTCACCATCAATAGACAAGTGGATAAATAGAACGTAGTTTATACAGTGGAATGAATATTATTCAGCCTCAAATAGGAAGGAGATTCTGACACATGCTACAACATGGGTGAACGTTACAGACATTATACTAAGTCAATATCCAGACTCAAAAGGACAAATATTGTATGATTCCACTTATATGATGCACCTAGAACAGTTAAATATAGAATGTCCCCTCCCCCCAAAAAGTATACACACTTTAACAGCTGGTAGTTCAATTTTGAAAATGAAATGTATTTTAATAAACACTGCCTTTATAATTTTTCAAAGTGTATGTATACATTTTTGGAACACCCTATACATAGAGACAGAAAGTAGAATTGTGGTTACCACGGACTGGGGTAGGGACATTATTGTTCACTGGCACAGAGGTTCAGTATGGGATGATGAATGAGTTCTGGAGATGGTGGTGATGGTTGTACATGTGAGTGGATATAATGCCACTGAATTTTTTTTCTTTTTAATCTGTTGGTATAGTGTAGTAATAGGTTTTCTGATTAACCATTCTTGCATTCCTGGGAACACCTTACTTGATCATAATATACTAAGGGCCCAGTGCATGAATTTGTGCATCTTGAAAGGAACTGTGGGCCGTGAGGCTGCTGTGGGCACAGAGGCGGGTCTCGGCCCATCCTCGGTGCCCCCGCCTGGACTCTCCTGACGCAGCCCCCAGTCCCATCTGCCCCTGTCTACTCACTCCCACACCAATTGCTCCATGTCGTCAGCCGGTGCAAGTGGTGGCTGCTGCCCTAATCGCCCCTCTGGAGCAGGGGGAGATGGAGAAGCCCCGAGTTGCACCTGCTGATGGCGCCTTGCGATTGGGGCTGGCGCTGGGCACTGGCAGCAGGTGCAAGCGCCGGGGCAGGACCGTGGCATGAGGGAGCAAAGAATTTTCAGTAACCACCAGAGGCTCGCCCCAATGACAGTGATCAGCACCCCGTCTTGGTCTGGTGCCCCTGCTCACCTGCTCCACCATCCTGTAGCGGCCAATGCCCGCCATGTTCTGCACTCTGCCATCTGCTGCTGATCTGCGTGCGCCCCCTGGTGGTCAGCACACGTCATAGCGACGGGTTGTTCAGTCTATTTGCATATTAGGGTTATATATAGAGATTATTTTTTTAATTAATTGATTTCTTAGAGGGAGAGTAAGAGAGAGAGAAACATCAATCTGTTGCCTCCCGCACACCCGACTGGGACTGAGCCCACAAACTGGGCATGTGACCTAAGAATTGAACCAGCAACATTTCGGCACACAGGATGACATTCAACTGAGCCACATGGGTCAGGGTGATCATAACATTATATACTGTTGAGCTTGATTTGCTAGATATAAGAATTGTAAATTATAAATTCTATGTTTATTTTTTTTCATTTGTATCCTGTGAGATTTTATGAAGTTCTGGGACTTTATCCAACTTGAAGCTGCCAGTTAGCTGTTACTGTTTTGTGGGTAATGGCAGAAGACATGAGATTCCTGGGACACAAAAAACTTGCTCTCTCCCTCTCTGAAATCAACAAAAATATATTTTTTAAAAAACTGATCAGGATACGGAGGAACTGGAAAGTTCAAACTCAAAACCCCGAGGGCCCCCAGCTCTGACAGGTCCTGGGTTTCAGGCACATCCCCTCTGCCCTCCAACCTTGGTGGACCAGGCCATGGCTCCCCAGATGTCCTTTCACTGTATGGACAGGACAGGGAGTGGCAGCTGGTCTGGTCTGGAGCCTACATCTTATAGGCCACACAGAGTCAGGAGAACAGGAGCCAGAAATGAGACTCATTCATCCACTCTTCCAAGTTTACTGAGTATCTGCCCATCAAGCACCAGGTAGGATTCCAGGGGCAAGTAGGTCCTGTCCCAGCCTCCTGGAGCCTGTACTTTAGTGTTGATGGGCGGTGGTGGTAAGACAATATACAAGCATGTAAATTATATTGATAATTAGCATAGATAAAATAACATAAAGGAACAGATACCTCACCAAAAAATATGCATGAATGACAAAAAAATTAAAATATGCTCAACATCATTAGTCTTGTTCAATTATTTCTGATTCTCTTTAGGATATAGGATATTAATGTCTCTTCTTTAGCTTAAGGCTCTGGTTGTTAAAAAAAAGAAAAAAGAAAAAAGGGGGATAACGTGGAACAAACTGTGGACTGATTATTTTTTGAGGTGTCCTTTGAAGAAAACCTAGTATCTCAAATTCACAGAAATGGAAAGTAGAATGGTGGCTACTAGGGGCTGTGGGAGGAGGACATGTGTTGTTTAATGGATATATTGTTTCAGTTCTGCAAGGTGAAAAGATTCTGGAGATCCATTGTACAAAAATGTAAATATACTTAAAATTACTGAACCATCCTATATAATAAAAGGGAAATATGCAAATAGACCCAACAGCAGAGCAACCACTCAAAGCATAATATGCTAATGATATGCTAAGGCTATTCAACCACTTGCTATGATGTGTACTGACTACCAGGGGGCAGATGCTCCGACCAGTAGGTTAGCTTGCTGCTGGGGTCTGGCTGATCGGGACTGAGTGAGATGGGCCAGACATGCCCTGGAGCCCTTGCGCGGACCCTCCCTGGCCCGATCATGCACCAATGGGGTCCCTCAGCCTGGCCTGCACCCTCTTGCAATCTGGGACCCCTCGGGGGATGTCGGAGAGTCGGTTTCAGCCCAATCCCACAGGCCACTCCCCTTGGGAGGGCGCCAGATGCAGGGCTCATGGCTGGCGAGTGCTGCTGAGGCAGCACAAGCCTCTCCTGATCGGGACTGACTGGGCGGCAGGCACAGTGGGGCTGGGATGAGTGGGGGCGGCAGGTGTGAACTGAAGGCGGCATTGGACTGCAGGTTTCGGCCTGATCCCTGCATGCCACCCAGAGGGGCCCCACCCATGCACGAATTCGTGCACCGGGCCTCTAGTATATTTTAAAATGCTCAAGATGGTTAAAAGAAGTATCAGACATTTAATATCAAGATGACATGGGGATTTTATTTTGTAGAAAAGCAACATCTAAAGAATTCCACAGACAGCCCTAGGATGTCTAAAGTACTATACTGTATATAAACATGTCATAATGAAAACACTGAAGCACTGAAAGATACCAAAGTACTTCCTGAATCCAGAAGTCAAAATAAACTCAGTATGGTTTTAACATCCTTTTCTCAAAGTCCTAATACGCTGACATTTGGTAAACCAGGTAACTATCCAATTATAGCTTTGGGCAATACATAACTTGGTGATGTCTAAATCTTCTGTCAATACAGAAACTTGCTCACACTCATCTAGTATATCTCCACACAAATATTTTAAAATTTAAATTTCTTGGTCAAGTGGTATAGTGTTTGAATTAATTATATTTAGATGTTTCCATTATAAAGTTAAATGAACAACTAAATTAGTAAAAAGTGCTTACTATGGTTTTATGGGAACATTAATACTCTGACAAAAATGTTTACACATGTGCTCTATACTAATATTGCCTTTTTAATTTAAATCTAAATTTTCCTTCTATTTTACAAACACTTGTGTGATTTTTTAAAAAATAAATTTATGCCTTCTTAATCCTCACATATTTTTTGCCCCTCCTTATTTCTTAACTTAAATTCAGTACAAGCTTTCTTGGCATCTTAGGCTTCGTGAGTATTCTTACTCCTGAACATGAGCAGTTCTATGGAGTCCTAAAATCCAGCATGGGAATTACTGTTAAATTAGTTCTAGAAAAAAACACGAAAGACATTTTTCTTGAAATATGCAGAACATTCATGCCAAATCTCTTGTTTATACAATAGACTGGTAAAACCGGTAAATTGCATATATAGATTATATTCCCCAAATAGAATAACTTAAATATTAAAATGTACCTTTAGGTTACCACCATAACTGACCTCATAAGCATAACAAATGGCAATATTCCATACAAAAATCACAAAATCCACTTACTTTAAATGCTGAATATCACAGTAACTACTCTCATCTCCCTATGACCTATTCAAACTACAGACAGCATTTTTTTAAGCTACTCTACCATTTATACCCTAATTAGAAATTTATACGGAACACAATTTTATGTTCAAATATGGAAATAAGCAACATTATTCCAAATCCCAAAAGCATCCCAGCATTCTGTAAAAGGAAATATCCCCAGCGGCTACATCCATGGTCACTAGCATCATTGTGCAGCATCTCAGGTACCTTAAAGAAAAAAAAAAAAAGAGCAACTTTAAGTTTTCAAAACTACAGATTAGTTTTTATAAGCCTTTGCAGGATAGTTTATTTGTACTATATGTAGCTGGATATACGGAGTCAATTCCTTAAAACAAGACCACATACATACTGATTCTCGCTAATGTCACATAGCATTTCCTAGCAGTTTAATTAACAATGATTATTTACCATCTGCTTAGCAAGTCAAATTTATATTGGTCCCATTTGCTCCTGCTTCATGCCTGTATCTGAACAGAATATAACCTATGGCTTATCTGAGTTCAGATATATGAAAACCTTACACTATATAAAATAAAATTTTAGTGCCCTGGCCCATGTGGCTTGGTTGGCTGAGCGTTGTCCCATGCACCAGGAGGTTCTGGGTTTAATTCCTGGTCAGAGCACATGCCCAGGCTGCGGGCTAGAGCTCCAGTAGGGGACGTGCAGGATCAATGATTCTCTCTCATCAATGTTTCTCTCTCCCTCTCCTTTCCTCTCTCTCAAATCAATAAAAACATTTAAATCAAAATGGGGTAGATATTTCTCTGTACCCTCAGACACATTAAGCAGGATAAGAATGTGCTTGTGATCAACAATTCAGAAAGATAAACTCTAAAGGAACTATATTTTATATTCTACCTTGTTGAGTATAGGATGACTTATCACTACTGCATTCAAATCTAAAGCCTTTTTAAAAATAAGGTTTCCCTTAAGTTTCTCTATTTTATTGCTAGTCAATACTATAATTTGACATCGTAAAAACTTACCATATCAACCAGAGCAACATACATGAATAAGCCAGCAGTAAGTGCAAATATCCACATAGAAACATTTTCAGCATAATGACCAATGAAAATTCCTGTTGCCATTCCAAGATATGCCAGCATGGCTGACAAAGCATTATAAAGAACAGCCTGCTTAACAGTCATGCCAGCCTTTAGTAAAACAGCAAAGTCACCTTTAACGAAAACAAAAAAGGGGATTAAGTAATTGAAAAATCATTTTAAAAACACATACCTAAGTCTTTGCCCTGGAAAGTTCTTAATAGTGGTTAGAGCGTTGGCCCATGGACTGGAGCAGCGGTTGCCAACCTTCCGGACCTCACAGGCCACCAGTGGTCCGTGGACCACCGTTTGGTGACTGCTGGACTGGAGGATCTCTGGTTCGATTCCCAGTCAAGGGCACAAACCTGGGTTGCAGGTTGGATCCCCGGCCCTGGTCGGGCACGTGCAGGAGGCAACCAATTGGTGTGTCTCTCACATCTGTTTCTCTCTCTCCGTCCGTCCATCCGCCCCCCCCCACCCCCCCGCTTCTACTCTCTCTAAAAATCAATCGAAAAAAATACCCTTGGGTGAGGATTAACCAAAACAACAAACAAACCAAACAAAAACAACAACACATACCCAAAAGACTTCACAGATTTAAGAAATTACCTAAATTTTTTTAGAAATTATCTAATTTTTAAGAGGAAAACAACAGTGTAAATCACTCTAACACCTCTATACACTAAGATTTTTTTTATCCAAAGTTTTTCTGAATGCTCCCTTTGTTAATGAGTGATACAAACCTACTATTACTATGCTCTTACACTGTCTTTAAGGAGCTTATAATTGGCCATAAACTGGAGGACCATGGAGAACACACATGAAATGATCAGCAAATGATAAAGGCAATTTATAATTAAGAGCTAAAGAGTCTAATGTTCTAGTTACACAAGGAGAAAATGAGATACATTAAGACAGGAATACTTAAGGCTTCATGGAGCATGAAGGATCCAGAACAGAACATAAACCAGATGTTGATTATAAGCACTGAGCAGGCAAGTGGGAGGCCTTCTGAGTGGCAGAACACATGCCAAGGAATAGAGTGAAAATAGTGTCACGGTGTATGCAAATATGTGTTTATAGGGAAAAAACAAGGACATGACGGATCCAGAATAACTTTGGGAAGGGGTTTTTCTTCAGTTCCAAAGAGATTCTCTCTGTTAAGGGAAGATGACTCATTTGATTCCCGTGGTCTAATTCATACTGTGTGTATGAAGAAATGACCACTGAGGTGTCAGTATGCTGGCATAAGAAAATAGTAGGGGAAGAGAACGTGAAAGGAGGCCCAGGTACCTCTTTGGCAACCCCACATAAGCAATTGTGTAATTGTACTTATAGGGTCAGAATTCTGGCTGGAAACAAACTTACATTCATTAAGAAAAGAAAGCTAGCTAGGTTAGCAGACTTAAGAGAAGGCATAAAAGTTATGAGGAAGCAAAAGCTAATGACACTCAGACAATTGAGCCATCTGGAAAATACCATTTATATGGTTCTCTTACCTAATTCATGAGGCAACTCGTGACAAAACACAGCAACAGAAGTACTTAAACCACTCGATAAACCCTCAGTGAAAGCAGCACCTGTGTAAAAATCAACCAGAAAAAGACTGACTACATTATTTTATGGGTGTGTTTCTAAAAAAAAAAAAAAATCTTACCAGCATACAAAATGAGGTAAAAGAAATAAAACGGATTCTGGTTGTGAATAAACAGAACTTTCCCAACTGCACTCTGTATCTTTGTAAGTAACCCCAGATTACATTCAATTAAGTTTAAATTTCCAGTGGAGCACATGCTGGTATGATTAAAAGGGGACAGTTCCACTATGCATTATAAAAATCTGAGAAGTAATTGCTACCGCATCAAACACTTATTTAAAAATATAAAATAAACTGATTTAAAAGGTTTAGAAAAAACTCATCAGTCAAGAGTACAAATTGTTTTACTGGCCTCAGAGGAATTCACTACATAATCAGACTTATTTACATTCATTCTTTCACTGTCTCATAAAAAGAGTCTAAGACAAATAGCTCTCCTCCTTTTAAAAGCTAACATATTATACAACTGGTCATGTATAAACCATGACTTAGTATTTGAGTATTCTCTGTTGCTTAGGCTGTGCATAATACATAGAGGGGGGAGAGCACCAGGCTCCCAGGGAGCCAAGGCCTGGGCTCATCTCAAACAGCACTATCTCTTTGGGCAAGTGGTTCACCTTGCCAGGCCTCAGCTGCCTAATTTATAGCTATTTCCATGGTTCCTTTTAGAACTAAGTTACTAAAATTTGTAAGTACGTATTCTATAATCTCCTATTTGTGGTATAACAATTTAATAGCAAAAACTCTATAGTTCTTTGGATAGAGATTGGTAACTGAACTTATCAGATATAGAATCCTTTATAGCATGAAAGAAAAGCTGATAGAACAGATTCTTTTACTTTAATAAATACTGTTTATATTGCAGATAAGAGAACTTAAATGAATAGGGGACAAAACTCACACATGCTCCAAACACACTGGAACCTGATCTTAAGACCTTGCAAATTAAAACAACTTTTGGTAGTTACAATATAGGTAAATGGAGAAAGCACCGCTCTTTTCACTTTATTATTTCACTGTCAAAGTAGCCAAAGAAGAAACAACATTTTGATAATCAACCAATAAGAGGCAAATATGTAGATGTGTACCAATTGCTAAGCCATCGCTGAAATTGTGCAGGCCATCGCCCATTATCACCATCCATGCCAGTGTGGCAATGCCAGCATCTTTCAGCTCCTCCCGAGAGTAGCGCTGACTGTGACTGTGGGGGTGGTGGTTTTGGTGGTGGTGGTGATGAAGAATATGATGGTAGTCATGATGGTGGTGAATGAGATCATCTGACTGGCCCAGTGTATCATGGAAATGCGAGTGGCATTTATTCTTGCACCCTTTGGGTACATATTCATTATAGACTTCCTGTGGATGTGCATGGGCTATCATGACCTCTTCTTCTTCTAAGATTGCTGGCTGCTGAGAATCAAAGTGGGAGGGCTCCTGTGAGTCTGCTCGTAAATAGCTTTCAGGCCCTGGGTATAAACAAAAAGGACACATTTCAAACATTTCCACTGACAATTAAAGTAAAAAAGATCTTAAAATGGAGCAACTCTCTCCCATATACCTGAAGGTCTAAACATTAGAGTATTAGTATTATTTTTTTTAACATATTTTTTATTGCTTTCAGAGAGGAAGGGAGAGGGAGAGAATCATTGATCGGCTGCCTCCTGCACGCCTCCTACTAGGGATCGAACATGCAACCCGGGCATGTGCTCTTGACCGGAATCAAACCTGGGACCGTTCAGTTGCAGGCCAACACTCTATCCACTGAGCCAAAACCAGCTAAGACCACTCGAGTATTATTGATGAAAAAAACATTAATAGGTTTTAATGAATTTTAAAAATTAAATGGTCTCACATATTAAGAATAGATTTTAAACATTAACCTTCAATAACTACTCCTCAGATCCTCCCTTAATTTCTTCTGCCTCCTTATAAACAACTTACTCACTGGCAATTAAAAAATGTATGAGTCAAAAAAAAAAGAGGGACATGGTTCCATCCCTTCCATATAGTCCAAAAAGAGCAATGAGTTCTCTCCAACCCTCAGATTCATAAGGACTTACGATCATCTGCGTCTACTTTCTCCTCATTTGTTGAAAGTTGAGATTCATACTTGGACAACCGCTTCTTAATCTCCTCGTCATCATCATTTTCAGTTTTTTTCTGATTCTAACATAGCAAGGGAAAGAAATACTTTAATGGGGATCGAGCCAGTGACCCAGGCATGTGCCCTTGACCAGAATCGAACCCAGGGACCCAGCGGTCCGCAGGCCAACGCTCTATCCACTGAGCCAAACCAGCCAGGGCGGAAAGAAATACTTTAAAATAGCTGGTTTGCTTATGCGTACAACTTTAAATAGACACTTAAACAAAAGATACAGAAAAAACCTGCAGAGTAACAAACCTTCATTGGAATAAAGGCCACCTAAAAGGACAAGGCCTGCATTTAACTTGCACAGCACCCAGCAATGTGTCCCAGGCACAGTAACTGTTCAAAAGGTGAAGAATCAGTGCCTCAGTAATATGAAATGTAGAAGAATCACACTCATCTTTATGAATGTCCCCGAGGTCTTCTACTCTAAGTGTGGTCTTACGTAAGCAGCACAGCATCCCCATGCACAATCTCAGACCTAATGAATCAGATGGGGATTTTAACTAGATCCCCGTGACTCACATACACATTAAAATTGAGCTCTGCCTCAGGTTATCAATTTAGAACCAGCTAGAGAGCATTTTCTTCAGGCATTTAGTAATCTGCTAACCAATGCTAGGTTTTCTCCATCTCTCTTTTGTATGCTGAAAATCCGTACTTCCCATACTTTTTACATCCTAAAACTATACTGTGACACTGCTATGTATTTATTATTATAACTAAAATACTTTTCATATAATATAACACCAAACAAATCTCAGCCTTGAATTTATAATTAGGGTTTTAACCACTATGCTTGAGATACTGTTCCTATCTCTGAGCCCAAGCAAAAGGTCACTGTCTAACCAGCGGTCGCCAACCTTTCGGACCTCACGGACCACCAGTTGGAGACTGCTGGTTTAAACAATGGTACTAACTTATATAGAAGATAATATTCAAAATACTAAAAATGTCACACAAAAATTACATTTATTTGTAGTACCTTTGAATATGACTTAAACAATCACTATTATACCTAAGATTTCATTCTAGTTCTGACAGTGTATAAGATATCTGTACATTCTTACGTTTGTGGATGAAAAAGAGGCTCTATAATAAATCTGACAAGTGCAGTGACTGAAAGTAACCTCACAGGATAATTGATCTGATCATAAATTTCTAACTGGGAAGGTTATGGTCTATAACTTCCCTCGTGAACTGTTACCTTTGCCTTAAGTAAGCCCTGTTCATTGTTTTTGTACATCTGCTAAAACACCTTTGAAATGCCTCTTTTTCATTCCCTTTAGGAATGGAACCAGAACCACCTCAGGAGAGCACATAATCTTGTCAACCATCCTGTATTGAATCACAGATATTTCCTGGCCTTGCTCTTTCACTTCAAGTAATCTTCCTTACTTCCCTCCTTAATTCCAAATGCATAAAAGAAATTGCGAGCTCTCATTCTGGGAAGCATTGTTCTTAGTCTGATGAGATCCTGCTCCCAGGCATGTCCTGTTTGGCTCAAATAAATTCTGATAAACTCATAAAAATGTTCACAGTTTTGTATGTTCTTACGTCAACAGGTTGTAAGAATTTTTAAAGGCAAGCACACACACAAATCTTTATACCTACCCTTAACACAATACCTCAAACAGAGGAAGTATTTAAATATCTGTGAACATGAACAATTCAGGGTATTTTAAATAACTTCACTTGATGCTTCATTTCTTGTTGGGCAATGACTCTCTCTTGAGAACTTACAGATCTTAATGAATTCCTTTATTCCTTAAGTATTAAGGGCCTATAATGTTCCCTTGCTAAGCGCTGGCAATACACGTAAAATAAGAAACAAAGGGTCTCTGTTCTCACAGAGCTTATCACCTACAGGGAAGGCGGAGGCTTTACACAGATAATGATTACACAATTCTTTGATTGCATTTACAAAGAAAAAACACAGAGTGCTCTCAGAGTGTATAACAAGACAATACCACATCTCAGGACAGGCTTCCTCCAGAAAGTGATATTTGTACCAAGACCTAAAGATGAGCAGGGGTTTGCTGGGGAAGGGTGAGAGAGACAGTATTCCAGGCAGGGAGAATAGCATGTAGGAGGGCCAGGAAGAAGCCAGCCCATCTTTAACAGAAACAAGGACAAGGTGGTTGGGGCCTAGTAGGTTAGAGACAGGGTGGCTAGAGATAAGGCTGGGCAGCTGAGACCAGACAATGCAAACTGGTTATACTGTAAGAGTTGTGGCTTTGTCCTACAAGCAATGAGAAATCACTAATGGAGGGATTTTAAGTAGTGGAGTCCAACCTCATTAGATTTTCATTTAAACAAATCACTCTGCCTGGATTAGAAGACAAAATAATGTCAACATGTCCATTAGGAGGCAACTATTGTCACCCAGGAGGGAGATAAGGATGGCATGGACTAGAATAGCAAGGAAGATGGAGAGAAATGGAAAAATTCTAGATATATTTAATATAACTAGGTTGAACATGAAGAGGGAGATGTCATTGATGATTCTCAGATTTCCAGCATGAGCAATAACCTTTACTGGCAGAAAGTTTGATGTTGAACTGTTTTAACTGTCTAACTACTAGTATATCAAGTATGAAATGTAAACTTAATTTTAATAGAGATTTCAGATTGTCATAGATGGCAAGTAACCTAAAACTATGATATAAAGGGGTGCAGGATGGACATCTTAAGGAAAATCCTAGGTAAAATGTTCTGCTATGGGTCTAAAGAGCTCTAAATACCATGTAATGAATAGCTTTTTTTTCTTTTTAAAGAACCAAATGAGATTAAATAAGATCTGGATGTCCTTGAAAAGAGACACTCAATCTAAAAAGAAAGAGGACAATGTTGGCAAAACTCCCATCTAGAAATTATGTTTACTTGCTGTTTAATGTTTCTTATACATTCAACAACTATTTTTTTTTTAATAATCTCTTACATGCCAGTCACTATTCTAGGAATTGGAGATGTAGCAGTGAACAAGACAAAGAGGTCCTGGCTCTTAAGAGCTTATATTCTAGTAGAAGCTATTTTAGTTTAGAATAGGGATTATCAAACTTTGACTACAATCCACAGTAATATATACATAGTAATATATATATATATACACTATACTGTAGTATTTTTTTAAAGCATATTTTTATTGATTTCAGAGAAGAAGGTAGAGACAGAAACATCAATGATGAGAGAGAATCATTGATCAGCTCCCTCCTGCATGCCCCTCTCTGGGGATGTGCCTTGACCAAAGAACCACAACTTTCTGGCTCATAGGTTGATGCTCAACCACTGAGCCACGCCAGCCAGGCTATTGTTGTATTTAAAAACATGGATACAAGATAGATTTCACACTCACTAATAGGTTACAAGCTAGAGTTTGAAAAATACTATTCTGTATTAAATCACAGAGAATCTATCATGTTAAAGTGTCAGATTAAACAAAAGTTATCTTTAACTAAAATTTAAAAACTAAATTGAAATTATAATGCTCAGCCTGGCTGGTGTGGCTGAGTGTTGACCAGGAGGTCACAGCTCAATTCCTGGTCAGGGGGCGTTTCAGAAGCAGCCTATTGATGATTCTCTCTCATCATTGATTTTTCTCTCTCTCCCTCTCTCTTCCTCTCTGAAATCAATAAAAAATATATTAAAAAAATTATGTTCAATACATTATGGAATTTGAAACAGAAAAAAGGTAAAACCAACCAACAAACCCCCAATCCTATTCCCCCCCAAAACTAAAAATGACCTTTTATTTTTTTTACTTTTTAAATATATTTTTATTGATTTCAGAGAGGAAGGGAGAGGGAAAGAGAGATAGAAATATCAATGATGAGAGAGAATCATTGATTGGGTGCCTCTTGCACGCCCCCTACTGGGGATTGAGCCCACAAGCTGCGCATGTGCTCTTGACGGGAATTGAACCCAGGACCCTTCAGTCTGCAGGCCTATACTCTGTCCACTGAGCCAAACTGGCTTAGGGCACCTTTTATTTTTTTAAGTTAAGAAAAATTCCAGGTGGGTTTGGGGGACTGGGTGGAAAAGGTGAAGGAAGTAAGAAGTACAAATTGGCAGTTACAAAATGTCATGAGGACATAAAGTACAGCACAGGGAATGTAGTTAATAATATTGTAATAACTGTGTATGGTGCCAGGTGGTTTGAGAATTATCGGGGATCACTTTTGTAAATTATATAATTATCTAACCACTATGCTGTACACATGAAACTAACATAAAATAATACTAATATAAAATAATACTAATGTTAACTTTAACTAAGAAAAAAAAAAAGTGTCAAAAAGCCTGGGAAGATCACACAAAAATGTAATAATGGTTGTATTAGAGTGGTGCACTACAGGAAAATCCTATGTAATAAAACCCTAATATGCAAATCGACCAGATGGCTGGTTGTATGATGTGCACTGACCACCAGGGGACAGATGCTCAATGCAGGAGCTGCCCCCTGGTGGTAAGTATGCTTTTACAGGGGGAGCGCTGCTCAGCCAGAAGCTGGGCTCACACTGGCGAGCGCAACGGTGGTGGCGGGAGCCTCTCCTGCCTCTGCTGCAGGAAGGTGGTAAGGAGCGAGGGGTCCCAGACTGTGAGAGTTATGTCTGACTGCCTGCTTAGGGAGCTGGCCTAAGCTGGCAGTCGGAGATCCCCTTAGAGGTCCCAGACTATGAGAGGGTGCAGGCTGGGCTGAGGGATCCCACCGCCCCAGTGCATGTAACTTTGTGCACCGGGCCTCTAGGATTTTTCTCAAAAATTTTCCAAAAGTTTTCTAACGAGCATGTTTTATTTTGATACTATTCTAAAAATAAATTAAAGAAATGTTTTTCAGAAAGATTAATTCCAGAGAACATAAAGAAATAGGATATTGCCTCAAACCAGTCCAAGACCAATGGGAACACAGATGATAATTTCCTGAATTAAGAATGAATAAAATGCCCTGGCCAGTTTTTCTCAGTGGTTAGAGCACTGGCCTGCAGATCACAGGGTCGAGGTTCGATTCACGGGCAAGGCACGCACCTCGGTTGCAGGCTTGATCCCCGGCCCAGCCCGGTTGGGGCATGTGTGGGAGGCAACCAACTGATGTGTCTCTCTCAGAATGATGTTTCTCTTTCTCTTTTTCTCCTCCCCCCCCCTCTAAAAAAAAAAAAAAAAATCAATGGAAAAAATATCCTTGGGTGAGGATAAAAATAAAAAAATAATGAATAAGTTATTCTTATTTCACTTCTTTCCTCTAAATTTAGGTCCAGCAAAGAGAAGATCCAAGATTTGCACTTTGAAAAAACACCCCCCCCCCCCCCGCAAAAAAGTATAAAAGCAAACAAAACCAAAGCACAACAAAGGGAAAAAAAAAAGATTTGCAATTTGAGATTTTTGTGAATGTAAACTCCGTAAAGGGAAATATTCCCAGGACTAAGTAGAAGGCTGCTTTCCTTTCATACAAGCACTTTTTCCCACAGTGAGCTCTATGTTCAGTGAGAATAACTCTGCTAGTTTTCAAATGTCCTTATGAGTTATAGCTGTTATTGTAACTATACAATTTAATTACCTATTGCTCAAACTATGTGATGATGGTGAGAATAGTTACTTCTATGAAAACTTAAGTTGAATGCATTTGAAAGTCAAAGACAAGTTGCTTTAAAAAAAGGGCTATCAAATTATGTAAAGTGACTACTGTCTACAATTTTTAAAATTTCTGAAATCTAAGTTCTACACTCAAACTATCCTTACAAGTATGTAACCTCTGGCTCAACTTTAGACAAACCAAAACTGAAGATTGTAGATGAAGCATCATGGCTGTAGAAAAAAAAAAAAATCATCACACAGAATCTAACTCAAAGATAATCTTGGTCAACATCAGGAGTATACAAATGTTCTAAGTTAAATTAAAATGTCCAAGATATGTACATGTAATTTTTAAGAGTCCCCACTGGAAAAAAATAAAAAGTCGCCACTAGGTTAGTCTTTAGAGTGACTGGCCTGGTCACATCAGATAAGAGGCAAATAACCACAGGCAACTCAAAGTTATTTTTACCAGAAATAAAGAGTCTACTGTTTGGTGCCGGAAGCCAACTCCAGCATGTCATAATTGCAAGAGTTTCATCAAAAGGTTGATGGAACTTGGGGACTCAACAAGGGCTGAGTCACATATGTTGTCACCTGTTGGGAATGGCTGAGGACATTTCCCCAAACCTGAAAAGGATGATTGCTTGCTGCCAGACAGCTCAGGGCATCTTAATCTACATGTTATTGCCTCCTACTGGCCAAACACCTGAACAGCCGTAGGCAAATTCTTCCAATCTGACAATGGATTTTTGTACCTAACCCTACCCTTTGAAGTATATATCTTGACCTTGCCTTAGGACAAATTGTGTTAATAAATAGCAAGGGATGCCCTGGCCGGTTTGGCTCACTGGATAGAGCGTCGGCCTGGGGACTGAGGGGTCCCAGGTTTGATTCCGGTCAAGGGCATGTACCTTGCTTGCGGGCACATCCCCAGTAGGGGGTGTGCAGGAGGCAGCTGGTCGATGCTTCTCTCTCATCGATGTTTCTAATTCTCTATCCCTCTCCCTTCCTCTCTGTAAAAAGAAAACCAATAAAATAAAATAAAAACTAAATAAATAGCAAGGGGTCCTGAGACAAAGAGAACTTAGTTTCTTTAGCTAGGCTCCTCTCACCCTCAAATGCCTTTCAAAATTATGTTTCATCTCTGGACTCTTTATTAAGTTACACACAGCCCTTCTCCAGATTGCTGAACCCTTCTAGATGCCGGAATAAGAACCCTGGTAGTTTGGCTTCATACTATTTTCTAGAGGAAATTTACAAAGGTCGTATCTGTGAAAGCCACATATCCTTTCAAAAAAAAAAACTGAATAACTAGCTACTGGGTGAATAATTAGAAATTAATCACATAATCATAATTACCAATGAATATTGATGGTATATCCATGGTTTTTCTTAAACCACTTTACTGGGGTATGATTGAGATATAAACAGCTTTACATATTTGATGTATACTACTCAGAGAGTTTGGGGAAAAGTATATACCCATGAAACCATCAGGGCCATAATCATGAATCTTCTGATCTTCAAGGATCCACTTGTGCCCTGTTTGGTCATTTATATAAATGTTTATCCTTGCCTTTCTCACCCTCTCATGAGTTTGAAGGTAATTCTGAAGATAGACAACTCCAGCATTAGAAAGATACAGACTTGCTCTCCATTAATGTCTCTCAGAGCTAAAAGTATCTCAAAAATGCTCAACACCTCTCAAACAAAGATCATATACCCAGGACAAGCTCTGCTAACAGTCTAGTTAGAATACTACTCTAAATAAATGTTTGATGCATAGTAAGTACTTAGTAAACTTTTTCTTACCTTTTTCTTCTTATCTTTAAATTGCTTGATCAATGTGAGTACATGTTCAACAAGAAACATTAAATACAAGCCTCCCAGAGCTGTTAGACCCTTCCATGTGGAATCAAAATAGGTACTTTCTTCTATGTTTTGAGAAGACAGATAACTGAACAGTGGCCCTCTCTTCATTTCCATTGCTGTTTCTTCATGGCTGTGACTATGGTGGTGACTTGCATGAGACTAAAAGCAAAAACAACATGTGTTTTATAAATTCACTAGTTTCACATGTCTGAAAAACTGGCTAAGATAAGGTCAAACTTGAAGTAATTCAGAATTGGGCAATTAAAAAGGATACTTTGGAATGAGGGAAATTTAGGACATTAAATAACAGGGAACTGCCAGACTTAATAGGTCTGTAGAGTTTACTGCTTCCACTCCTCGCTGAAAAGCTCACACCACTGTCATCAGTGTGCTTACAAGAAGCCCAATCTGTGTAATGAGCCCTGGCAAGTACCTGATCCAGGGGCTCTGGCCAGTGGCCTGCAGGAATGCAGCAGAGACTATGTTACTTCATGTTAGGAAGTTGGGTGTGGCACATACACAGAGGACAGACTAGGTTTGGTGGTGGGGTTATAGGGTACACCCCATGTACATGTCACTTTGTGCAGCAGATATTCCTGAACATCTGCCATTTGATGGTCAGGGAGTTTGTCACAGCAAAACAGCTCCCTTTCACTACTGGAGAAAGCATGATGAGATATGTAGAACTCTAGGAATACCACCCCCCCCACCACCACCTCACACATACCTGCAAATCTCTAAGGGAAATTTAAAAAATTAGATCCAAATATTTTCTACCTGCGCACCTACCCCAAATATTTAATGGAAAAGTAAACTCACTTTACCAAACTTGCTTTACTTAAGAATTCACTCATGTCACCAAGTACAAATCTGTAAATACACACCTTGACTCAACTCTGAAGAAAAACCCTCAAGTTTCTTGGGTAGACAGTCACATTTTTTATTTTTGTGGCAATTACACTAACATGTAAGCAGACAATTCACACTGTTGCAGACTGTCATAATACTAGCATCTGAGTAGAATCTGTCTCCTTTTATTAACTGGACCCCCCAAAATTAAATTAGTCTTTATAAAGAAAAGCAAAAAAACACACCACACAATGTAGTAAGATCAAGCACAGCTCTGGCTGGTGTGGCTCAGTTGGTTGGAGCATCATCACATACACCAAAAGGTTGTGGGTTCGATTCCCAGACTGGGCACATATCCAGGTGGTGGGTTTGATCCCCGGTTGGGGCTTGTGCAGGAGACAGCCAATCAATGTTTCCCTTACATCGATGTTCCTCTCTCTCTCTCTCTCTCTCTCTCTCTCTCTCTCTCAAATCAATAATAATAAAAAAAAGATCAAGCCTCAAAATGCAGCTTTTGGTTACCAAATATATTTTAAAATCAACTCCTCTAAACCAAATTTCTTACCTTTATAAATACCAATACAAAGAATTCTAGTACAAATAAACAAAAAAGTATGTATATTTTCAATGTTGAATAATACAATACACTAATAGGACAAATTACCATACTTACATGTGGAAGAAGATGTAAAAAAGCATCACCACTCAATGTCCCAACAGCCAATGCCACAAGGAAACTCAGGAGAAACTTAAAAAACACCCGATTCATGAGAGGCACTAAAATAACACCCAGCAAAGACAGGAAACTGATGATGGAAATGGCTATAAAGCCACCAACCCAGGCTGTCAAACAAAAGAGCAAAGGTAAAAACATACAATTGATAAACTTTAAAAGAGAGACTTTGGAGTAGCATAAAGTAACTTATAACGTAGGCAGTCTTAAAGAAATACAAACTCAATAACCAACGAATGGGCTCAAATGAACAATTTGAATGAACTCTCTAGGTAAAGAGCATAACCTAATGGAAAATCCTTCAGCTGGTAGTGAAAGAAGGGAAAGAAATGATAAACAAAGATGAATTCTAGCTCATTTGGGAACTGAGCTTTCAGACTCCTGTAACACCTAAATTATGAAAGAGAAGAGGAATATGTTAAAGGAGAGAGAGAAAGAAAGGGAAAAAGAAAAAAAGGAAACCGAGAATTATTTCCTCAGTAAACAAAGCAATTATTTCTTCATTCTAGTTTTTGAGCACTGAAATTCTAGCCAGGGGTGAGGAACTTACAGCCGAGCCTTATAAGGTCTGGCCAGGGGTGAGTTTTTGAGCACTGAAATTCTGGCCAGGGGTGAGGAACTTACAGCTGAGCCTTATAAGGTCTGGCCATGGGTGAGAAATGTCCAGTCAGACTTTAAAGGTCACCAGAGATGAGGACCGTCTCTAGAACATCTGGCCCGCAGGCTGTATAAGGCCTGTGACATCATTTGGTCTAGCCCTGCCAAGGCTAGGAGTGAGTTAAATGAGCAAATATAACAGGCTAATTTTTTTTTCATTCTTTATTGATTAAAGTATTACATATGTCTCCTTTTCCCCCCATTGACCTCTCACCGGCCACTCCCACCCTCCACACATGCCTTCACCCCCCTATAGTGTCTGTGTCCATTGGTTATGCTTATATGCATGCATACATGTCCTTTGGTTGCTCTCTTATCCCCTGCCTTCCCTCTGAGGTTTGAGGGTCTGTTTAATGCTTCTCTGTCTCTGGATCTATTTTTGTTTATCAGTTTATGTTGTTCATTATATTCCACAAATGAGTGAGATCATGTGATATTTATCTTTCTCCGACTGGCTAATTTCGCTTAGCATAACGCTCTCCATGTCTATCCATGCTGTTACGAAAGGTAAGAGTTCCTTCTTTCTTACAGCAGCATAGTATTCCATTATGTAGATGTACCACTAGCAGGCTTATATTTAAGTTGATAATTCTGTATGGCCAGCAAATGATTTATAAATATCCAAATGGCCCTGGCAGAAAATAGGTTCCCTAACCCTGCTCTATACTATAGCACAGCTTATCCTGGTTTGATTTATTAATAACAGACCAGAGCCCTGGCTGGTTTGGCTCAGTGGATAGAGTGTCAGCCTGTGGATCAAAGGGTCCTGGGTTTGATTCCAGTCAAGGGCACATACCTTGGTTGCAGGTTCAATCCCCAGTAGGGGGTGTGCAGGAGGCAGCCAATCAATGATTCCCCCTCATCATTGATGTTTCTCTTTCTCTCCCTTTCCCTTCCTCTCTGAAATCAATAAAAAGATATATTAAAAAAATAAATAAATAACAAACCAGAATTGGGCTCCTAAACAGCAGAGATGAACTCTGACCCTTCTTCCCAAACAGGGTGACAATATAAAAAGCCCCAATTCCAGATAGCCCTTGACATTTCATGACCTCAGGCAAGTTACAACCTATGTTTTACTCATTTATCTATTTTTTTTTAAAAGATAAGGCAAGTACCTCTTTTTAAAAGCACTCCTTGGGCCTTTTGCTAATGACCCACGGAGCCCTCAAGAGAAAGGGCAAAGTAAACACCGCTTTTGGGTGAAGCAGCAGCATGTTGTGTTGTTTTGCTTTAATCGGTGGTGTGACAAGTTGTTAAAATAAAAAAAGATAAGGCAAGTTACAATCTAAGTTTTTTTTAGGGTCAGGCTAACATGCTTGCTTTTTTCATTCAAGGCAGAATGATCTCATTCATGTGGAATCTAATGAACAAAATAAACTGATGAACAAAACAGATCCAGAGACATAGAAGCATGGAACAGACTGAGGAATCTAAGAAGGAAGGAGGGGTGGTGGGGTAGGTGGGGAGAGGATAACCCGGGAATTTATATGCATAGCTCATGGACACAGACAATAGTGTGGTGAAGGCCTGGGAGGGGCGGGTGCAGGGTGGAGGGGATCAATGAGAAAAAAAAGGGGGGGCATATGTAATACTTTCAATAATAAAGATAAATTTAAAAAGAGATGTTATATTTGAAATTATGCTAAAAGTGAATAGGTTTTTGTAAATATAAAGAACACTAACAACATAAATGTATCTACTGGAAATTATTTTTACATAAAAAAACTCAATTCTACCTATTTGTAAAGAATAGGTCTTTGGAGGGATTTCAGCTTTCTTTTCACTCGTTGTATGAATCAGACACGATCTAGCATCAATTTGATTGATGATGGCTGGGCAGAGATAGTTGAACTCCATTTCATTCAGCAGAACCTGGATGCCCATGCCATGTGATGTGAGCAGCTTTGACGCATTGAAACACTAAAGAAAACAAAGCAGTGAAAAGCACCAAAAGGCATTCCCATTAGATAATCCAAAAAGTTGTTTGATGACACAATACCCTTTCCTTACTGAAGCTGCTTCTTAATTTTAGGTTAACACTGATTAAAATCAACTTTTGTTTTAAGTACTTTGGAATTTCTCAAACTACCTGGAGATATTATGTCATAATAGTGTTATCTCTCCTCTCTGCTTACTTCTAGGTAGAAAGTTACATCAGTCGCCTAGGGAGAAAGCCTTAAGTGAAATAAGCTTGAGGATAAATGAACATTCACAAGCCTGTTAACTCACTTTATAAACCTATTAAGGAAATGAGCTTTAATTTCGAGATGAGGGTCATTAGACATTGGCACATATGTTATTTTAGTACCAACGCTACTTGGCCTAAACAAGTCCAAAACATGTCATTCTTACAACAATGACCATACTTGCAAAACTTAGTTCAGTTCTGACTACACACTTGGCAAAATAATGCTCTACGAGAGACTATTAAAGTATGTACATTACTCTCACACAGGGTAAAGTTGGTAATAAAAGCAAACCTATATTGGCAGGCAGCTGTTTCAACAATTTAATGAGATGACTAGTTTGAAGAGAATCTTCTGAGTAACCTAAGCTCCTTCTATTCCCCCAGAATTGGTGGTAGCAACTGTTTCTCATCGTCTGTAAAGTTATTTTAAACTCCACCAATTCTTGGTTAATAATACAAAGAACAAACTTTATTACCAGTGTCGCTAAGGGAATGACCATTTGTAGTAGTATCCCAGAATTAGAACACTCATATGATGGCTTGCATGAAGTACTTAAGTTTTGCTTATTAACATGTATCAACTAACTCCTTGTTCTTGACATCTTTCAGTCAAGGCAAAGTGAGTACAGCCTTGAAGTCTAATCTAGAAAAAACACATGAAATCAGAACTTCACTGCCCAGGCATTCACTTGTCCAGTATGTCATTCTTGGCAGCAGTTCCAATGACTTCACAAATCATTACAATCCCTCTGCAAGGAGGTATTAACGTTCTTGAATTCTTCAACCCCTTCAACCACACCTTTCCCTAAAACATGGATTCTAACTCCTACATTTTCCACCTCCCATTTTCTACTTTTTATTAATAATACTTGCCTTCCAAAAATAACTTTGATATCTGCTTTCTATACTTATTTTAAATTCTATATAGAAAAGTTTTAGCCCAGCTGGCATGGCTCAGTGGTTGAGCATCAACCTATGAACCAGGAGGTCACGGCTCAATTCCCAGTCAGGGCACATGCCCACGTTGTGCTCAACCCCCAGCGTGGGGTGTGCAGAAGGCAGCCGATCAATGATTTTCTCTCATCATTGATATTTCTATCTCTCTCTCGTCCTTCCTTTCTAAAAGCAATAAAAATATATTTTTAAAAAAAGTTTTGAAGGCAGCACTATTCTTACTATCCTCCAAGTTTTTTTTCTTTTTTAAATCAGAAATGATTACAACATGGTAGGGACACTTTAGGCCAAGTGCCTTGCTGAGAAATTCCCTTTTCAGTAACTTAACCATTTTATTTTTACTTTAAACTCCTTAAAACTAGAGATAGAATGGCAATGACAGAATAGACAAGCAGGCATATTGATTAAAATAAGAACAGCCTTTATCTTACCTCCTGAGTATTTGCATTTGTGTTTCTGGAATACATAAACTCCTTTCTGGGCTCACTCACAGATTCATTTGTTTTTCTCCTAGCGGGCCGGCTCATCCGGCTCTTTTCTGTAATACTGGGTGGAGTGGAACTGCTCACATCTTTAGGGAGCTTTCCAGGTTTTGGAGTTTCTATTGTCTCCAGAAAATGAGTTCCTTCAGAGACAGCATTATATACAGTTGAGGTCACTTCACTAGCACCAACACCATCTTTGATTAAAACATTCCTTCTACTATTGGCATGTTCTGATCGGCGAGATCCTTTCCCCTGGTTGTTTCTAGTGTCTTTACTGGAACTATCAGAGTCAAGGTCTGGGCAAAGAGCTTTTCTAGTGTCTTTACTGGAACTATCAGAGTCAAGGTCTGGGCAAAGAGCTTTCCGATTATTTTTACCGGAAGCAGCATGATTACGGTGAGAGTGATGCTCATGGTCGGAGTGATGCTCATGGTCAGAGTGATGCTCATGGTCGGAGTGATGCTCATGGTCGGAGTGATGCTCATGGTCAGAGTGATGCTCATGGTCATGGTGTAAATGAACTCTTTTAATCTTATCTATGCCTATATTCTGAAGTAACTTTCTGAACCCTTCAACTGACAAAGAATTATTTTCTCCATAGCGATGGAAAAGCTGCTGTAGATGATGTCGCTGGGTGGTAACTGCCAAATCAACATCAATGCCAGATTCCCAGTTTGGAATTTTCTCCGTGGTCTGAGGGAGAGCAGTTGCTGATTCTACTTCATGAAGGAGATTTGTGACTGACAGAGTGAAGGTCAGGATGAAGATTAAGGGTAAACTCCTCGCCATTGCACCTTCCTAGAGAAGACAGAGAAAAGAAATTTTGTCTTCACTTCTATAATAATTTGAATTAAAAAAATCTCCTGCTAAACACTGATGTCTAACTCAAACAATCAAGGTCTATAAAACCTCATTTAGTGTGGACAGTGCAGTGTTAGGTACTGTGAAAATACACAAACAAGTGTCCTAGGCTCTACCCTTGCATTACCAAAACAAGAGAAATAACTGGAGAACTGTTGAGTGTTAATACACTTGGAGTGCGGGAAACGAGTTAAGTCGGCTCGCGTGAATTGCGCGTACTCCGCGGGAGCCGTCTTTAACTCAGTTCATATAGATTTGCGGTGGAGTGCGGGAAACGTGTAAACTCGGGCCAATTGTAACTGCGTATTACCAAATATTTGTTTGTAATCCACCCTTTTGGTGGATGGAACAAAACCAAAAGACAGAGCCATCTTATATTTTGGCGGGAAATTCACCCGCACTCCAAGTGTTAAGATTCAGTAATTAGCACTATACAAGTAATAGTAACTCAGACACTGGAGAGATCCATGTGGCCACAACCATATTGGCAGCTCCTCACTGTGTTGAGAACAATGATTTAAAACAAAACTTACCTCTACCATTGCCATTTCATAAAACATTATTTTAACATCAAAAGGAGTAGATATAGCAATATCAGAATTATTCACAGTTAAAATTTTTCTTAAACTATATACAAATCAATTTAAGGCTTCTTTCCCCAAGAGCACTCTTCAAAGTCACCCAATTACGCCTCGGGATATGTTCTATGCATCCTCAAGTAGATGTGTAATTAAACCACACAGATGGGATCTTTTTTTTCCTATTCAAAAATGACATCGTTCCAGGTCAGTACATATAGACTGACCCCATGCTTTAGATGACGGCATAATCATTAAGCTCCTTAAGTTAAACTTCATTTGATCACAGATCATCACTCATCCAGACAAAGGTGTTTGGAGATAGGAATTGAGTTGAGCCTTGAAAAGCAGAATTCAGTTAAGCCGAGGAAGGTACAAGTCCATAGATGTGGATAGACTGGTATCTCAGGACCCAGTCAGTCGTCACCAAACTCTGGAGCGAGAGAGCAAGGGCCTGGGGCGACCTAGCTCTACCGCTTTCGGCTGCTTCTCCTTGCACCAGGAAAAGCGGGCAGTACCCATGTCCAGGGTGACTGGGGAAACCACATGAACGGTTACATGGGAGCGCATGTTCCCAAACAATGTCGGCGGTGTTGCACAGCTGCTGATCAAGCCGGGAGCAGTGAAAATGGAAGTACCTAAGGACCATAGGGATAGGCTCCTGAAAGAACAATCTTTCGGACCTGAAGTTTTAATAGGCAAACGAGAACCATTAAGAAATCATTCGCAGGCAAGGAGCGGGGTGGGTTGGGACAAGCACAGACGGAAGCGCTCGGGGGCAACTCCGCGCCTTTCTCCCGCGAGGATGCTGAAGGCGACCGAGGACCCGCGGGCGGACCTTCTCCCCTGCAAGTCCGCGAGTGTTGTCGGAAAAAAGCATAAAGAAAGGGCCGGGAGAGAGGCCAGTGGAGAAAAAGGGAAAGAGGGCAGATCACTATTTCCAAGGGTTTTTTATTGTTAATACCCGTCCCTACCTTCGAGTAGGAGATTAATAATACTGTTTCCCCAGAAAGTCCTCCGTTGGACTCCTAAGCCCATCTGGGCATCCTACACTGGGAAGTCCGACCCTCGCGGCCTGAGGGGCTCCCCTTTCTGCAGCCCCCGCCCGGACCTGCGGGACTCACCTCTCCGCGGCCTCGCAGTTCCACGTTCCGGCCCCGCGTGCAGGTTCAGTTCCCCACAAGCGGTCCGGAGGGCTCGGAACCGGCCCGTCCTTCTCTCTCTGTCTCGAAACCTCTACAGGGCACGGGGAAGCGGCAAGCTCATCGGCCCGGACGCCCCTCGGTCGCGGGGACCACGGCACAGCCACAAGAAGCCGCGCCCCACGCGCCCTCGCCTCCCGGGAGCAGGACAATTACTAATGAGCGCGGCGCGCGGCGCGCGGCCGGGGAACACCGCCTCTGCCGGCCTGACTGCGGGACATGCGCAGTGCGGCTCAGAACCCCGTCCCCGCCAGCAAGTCCGCGTGGCCGCCTGTTCGCCGGCGCCGCGGGGCACGTAGGGGCGGGAGGGCGCGAAGGCGCGGCCGAGCGGACCGTGAGCGTCGAGACCGACTGGGGACCCTGTCTTTCTTCGAAGCCCTCCGCGCCTCTGCGCCACTGAGGCCCGAGACTCGCTGGCCAAGGCTCCCTCCTGGGCCAACGCCGCTGCTGCTGTAAGTCCGGGCGTGAGGGGCAGCGAGACGCTCCTGACGCAGCCGCGGCTCAAGTGCCACAGTCTTTCTGGAAGGTCCTGAACCGCTCCGGCCGGGCTTCGTCCTGGGGACCGAGGCCGCGTTTGTGCGCAGGGCCACGGTCAGCAGACCAGAGGTGGCAGCGGCGGGGCACGGTGGACCAGAGGAGCCAGGGCGGGGGCGGAGCCTGTGGGGCGTGGTCGTCTCCGCCGTCTCCGCCCCGCCCCCGGCTGCCTCCGAAACGCGGTGCGGACCAGGCCGGCCGGAGGGGCGGCCTCGCGCGTGTTTCCGCTCAGAGGGCGGAAGTGCGCCCCCAGAACTCGGCCTCGGACCAGCCAGCAACATGGTGGCATCCGCGCTGGAGGCGTCTCACGTATTTTGCTGCCCCAACCGGGTGCGGGGAGCCCTGAGCTGGAACTCGGGGCCCGGAGGACTTCTGGCCTTCGGCACCTCCTGCTCCGTGGTGCTCTACGACCCGCGGGTAAGGGCGGTGGCGGTGCGCCTGAGCAAGGGGCGGGGTGTCTGGGCGCGCCGCCATCGGCCTGGGGTCACCAGGTCCCACCGGTGACCGGTTAGCCCCACGTAGACACCCGAATGATGACGACCTTTTCTGAAGCCTTCTGTGGAAACTGTAGTACTGCTAAAAAAATTAGTTTGGGTTTTGAAAGATTTGCAGTTTAGGTACGGGCTAAATCCGTTATCACAGATGCTATCTCATGCCTATATTTCCCTCAGCTATATAAACTTGCCGCTTGTATTTTAGCTTTGGAATTGGACATTTTATTTTTTTAAACAATTCTTTCATTTATTGATTTGAGAGAGAGAGAGAGAGAGAGAGATTCATTGTTCCACTTATTTATGCATTCATCGGTTGATTCTTGTATATGCCCCGACCCGAGCTACCCTGCCATGGCTGGAATTGGACATTTAAACGAAAGTGTCGCCCTGGATGGTTTGGCTCAGTGGATGGAGCATTGGCCTGGGGACTGAAGGGTCCCGGGTTCGATTCCTGTCGGGGGCACATGCCCGGATTGTGCGCTCGGTGCAGCCAATCAATGATTCTCTCTCATCATTGATGTTTCTCTCTCTCTCTCTCTCTCTCTCTCTCTCTCTCCCCCTTCCTCTCTGAAATCAATAAAAATATATTTTTAAAAAATAAAAATAAAAGAAAGTGCCACCCTAACCGGTTTGGCTCAGTGGAAAGAGCATAGGCCTGCAGACCGAAAGGTCCCAGGTTCGATTCCGGTCAAGGGCATGTACCTTGGTTGCCGGCACATCCCCAAGTAGGGAGTGTGCAGGAGGCAGCTGATCGATGTTTCTCTCTCACAGATGTTTCTAACTCTCTATCCCTCTCCCTTCCTCTCTGTAAAAAATAAATACAATATTTTTTAAAAATAAAATAAAAGAAAGTGCCATTGGGGTAAAGGTCACAGGGGAAGGGTATCCTAAGCACTTATCAGGTGCAGATCAATACCTGATTAGTCATGACATGCAAAGTGAGCCATGAATATGTACCCATTAGTCACAAATGCCTCTATTGAAGATTTTTTCCCCCTCAACAAAACCCTCAAATTGATGCTGGCATGATAGAAGTAGGGCCCTGAGACCTGTGCGAGCACCAGGAAGAGGTTTCTTATCCAGCCTGGGGTGTCAAGACAGGCTCCCCAGATGAGGACAGGAGTGGGAAGGGGAGTGAGTGGTGCTCGGGACCAAGGCAGGTGAAGACCTGAGAGCTTATTATGATGAGAGCACAGGACACTGGGATTGTGGAGTGGTGAAAAGAATTAGAGTGAATGGATGGTGTAAGCCACAGTTACAAGTTTACAAAGTAAAGGAAGGTGATTTTTGTCTGAAGTAATCCATCAAAAATACTGAAACCTGATCTTTATTAATTTAATAATTCCTCTGTAGGATAGATTCTAATTTACTAACTGGTGCTTCCTTTGTTAAAGAAAAGGGTTGTCATTACCAACCTGAATGGTCACACTGCTCGAGTCAATTGCGTACAGTGGATCTGTAAACAGGATGGCTGTAAGTATTAATCTAATTGTAAAAGCTGATCTGAATTGTTTTCTGATAAAGTATGATTAGTCATTTTTCTTTCATCACTTCTCTTATTTTACCATCAGCTTATCTGATATTATTCAATTGGAAAATAGAAGAAAAACGGTATGCCCAATGAAATATCTGACCTGTACTTTTACTTTGTAGCAGTTGAAGCATGGATAGCACAGCAGTGCTTAGGATGAGGGTAGAGGCAGCCCTGAGTGTGGTAAGACCCCCCACCATTGCCCATAGCTTCTGCTTGAAAGCCTGAAAGCAGGGCCCATATTAGGACCCAGGCTGGGATTCCAAAAATTTGACTTGTTTCCATCACAGACAAGCTATTGTTTTTTTTAGGCAGGACATTGCATTTTTTCTTGACCCCAGTTTATATCTTAGTTACACCTGAAAAGTAAAGGCTTGGACTGAATCAGGGGAGCTTTTGAGGTTCGTGACACCTATGAGATCAAAATTATTTTCAGAATAATACCAAGGGGTTATTCACAGTTTTCATTCTCATTCTACCACAGTTATACAGTGGCCCTTTCAACAGCTGTGTGGTGAATGATATCACAACAGATTAAATACAGAAACAGATATGAAAATCCAGCTGTATGCTAATAGTTAAATGCTAAAGAGATTTGCAGAAATGTAAAACAGTGCCTCTTATTAATTTTTTGTTTTAGAAAATGTTAATTTTCTAAACAACATTTTCCTCGCCATAAAAATGTTGTTTTGTTAACATGCAATGGAATTTATTATTATTTTAGAAAATATTTTTTATTGATTTCAGAGAGGAAGGGAGAGGGAGAGAGAGATAGAAACATCAATGATGGGAGAGAATCAGTGATCAGCTGCCTCCTGCACGCCCCACACTGGGGACTGAGCCTGCAACCCCGAGCATGTGACTTGACTGGGAATCGGACCGTGACCTCCTGTCTCATAGATGCTCAACCACGAGCCACACCGGCCAGGCTGGAGTTTGTTATTAAGAAAAATGATAAGCAAGTAGTTTTCACATTTCTTAGTTTACAAACCTAATGTGTTTAGTATTTGTACATAGAGTCAGTCCATATAAACAAAGGCTTTATGGGGCCCCCAAACATTTTTAAGAGCATAAAGGAGTCCTGACACCAAACTGAAATTTGCTGGAATAGATTATCTCCAGGTCTCTTTTATCTCTAACATCCTGTGACTCCATAGTGTTTAATTAGCATACTGCTTTTAGATGGTGCTTCCAAAATACAATGCCATTTCCTCAAATGTCTTAAATATACCTACTGTAGTTTTCTTATGGACTCTGAATTAAATAAGAATATTTTTATTGATTTCAGAGAGGAAGGGAGAGGGAGAGAGAGAGAAACATCAATGATGAGAGAGAATCATTGATTGACTGCCCCCTGCATGCCTCCTACTGGGGCATGAGCCTGAAACCCAGACATGTGCCCTTGACAGGAATCGAACCTGGGACCCTCAGTCCGCAGGCCGATGCTCTATCCACTGAGCCAAACCAGCTAGGATTCTGAATTAATTTTTATTCCATAAACATTTATTAAGAGCATTCTGAGCCAGGCACCAATGCAGAATTTCCTGAATTAGTGAGACTCTGCTATGATTTTATCTGTGACATTAAAACAAAAATGAAGTTGAATAAGCTACTTATTTCATTTGGTAATGCAGAATTAGTTATATTAGGTTAGTAAAAACAAATAGAAAAATTGGCTGTAGTGCAGATATTAAAACACAATTGTAATTTTATTGCCACCAAATGACATCAAAGACTACTTGAATCTCAGTATAGGGATTTGTTATAAAAAATTTGGGCTTGTATATTTTATCTTTTCTTTAAAAATGAGGTTACATAAAATAAATTGCTTGTGCATCACTAATCTGTAACTATTAGAATTGATTTCCTCTAAGAATAGGGTTCTACCATCAGATAATTTAGATATTCTTTCTAACCCACATATCAGGTATCTTATAGTGATGATCAAAATCACATAGTTAGATAAATGGCTTAATTTCCGTGATACTTGAAGATATTCAATCCCAAGATCATAGCTGGCTGACAGCAGGGTTAGGATAGGAAGCTGGAACTTCTGAGTCCTTATCTAATGTTCTTTAGACAGTCCTCCAGCTGCTTCCCCTAAATGTCTAACACGTAGGCCAGAAGAAACAAAGAAATGGAAAATCCAAACTAAAATTATATATTATTTTTCCCTTTTAAAAAACCTAGATTGGGTACATTCTTCAAAACTACTGGTTGGGATGCTCATTATCACAAAAAAAGGAGGGACTGGGAAACTATTCTATCTTTTAAAGGAGACTGAGAAAGGATGACAACTAAATACACAATATATGGTTCTTAGATTCTGAATTTTAAAAAAGTTATAAAAGATATTACTGGGACAATTTGTAGAAATTTTAATATGGGCTATATAGTACATAATGATATTTTATCAGTGTTAAAATTCTTGAATGTGATAGTATTGTGGTCATGTAGGTGAATGTTCCAGTTCTTAGGAGACCCATAGTAAAGTGTTTGAGGATCAGAGGTCCTGATGTCTGCAACTTATTTTTAAGTAGTTTGTCAAAAACAATAAGGAGTCTCTTTATACACAGGGTTGGGCAAAAGTAGGTTTATAGTTTGTATGGAAAATAATACAGTAATTAGTAAATAATAATAATACAAAAATAAATAAACTTTCGCATACTCACAACTGTAGATCTACTTTTGCCCCACCCTGTACGCATAGAACAAGCTATTAAACAACTATGGCAAAATGTTAACAGTTGGTGAATCTATGTAAAGGGTATATGAGTTTTCTTCTAACTTTTCTATAGCTTTGAAATTTTTCTAAGTAGCTGTTAAAAAAATGAACAAAAATATTTACTGAGATATCTTTTCAGCTCCTTCTACTGAATTAGTTTCTGGAGGATCTGATAATCAAGTGATTCACTGGGAAA